ATTCAAGAGAAAAAGGTGGTTACCTTTCTTACTTTAATGTATATATTTATACTACAGTATCCTGAGATCAAGCTTGCTCTTTTGGTAGCCTAGTGACACTGTTCAGTCATCTGATGCTTGCTGTCATTGAAAGTTCTAGCATTCTTGACTAGCAGTTATGAGTTCATAAAGCAATGTTACTTAGAATAAGTAAAAAGTACATTCCACTGTCAAGGCTCATAGGACCAAACTCCTTTCACCAAAGCCATACAATTTGCAGAAGTTCTTTGACTCTTGTTTCATCTGAGAGCCTCCTTCCATTCTGCCCAGCACTACCATGACCCAGAATTGCTCTCTTGGTCATGGGCAACTGCTCCAGGGAAGTAGACACCCAAATGAACCTGGATTAGTCTTTCTGCAGGTCTCCAGGAGCCAAGTGGCTCTGAGTTTTAAAGAATTCACTGCAATAGATGTGGAATTACATTTGGTGTGTTATTTTGGAATCTACTAATTTTGTACAGCTGGTGTGCATAGGTTACCAGAAACAAGAGTGGAAAATATCTCCTGTAGAAACTGGTATGTGTCCCTCATACTGTGTGGCCACCCTACCTGAGCTACGTGGGCTCAGTTAATATCACAGTGGATTAGGTGCTCTGTGCCTGTAGGTTTATCTTTTGTATTTGTTTCTCCACACTCAACCTAGCAGTTTTCTTCTTCCCCTTTAGGGAATTGTATGCTAAAGCATCTCTTATTATGGAGGAAGAAAGTAAACATTTTTTCCCCAGATAATAATCTCTCTCTCTCTCTTTCTCTCTCTCTCTCTCTCTCTCTCTCTCTCTCTCTCTCTCTCTCTCTCAATCTACAAAGGAAGCAATAAGAAAAATTCCCACTTTTAGTTCTAAGGTAGGGAAAGATGTAACAAACAACTATTAGGAGTTGATTGTATTTCTCTTCCTGTGGTTATTAAGGGTTTGAAGGCTGTTTTCATGAATGATCTGATCATCAATATCAAAGAGAAAGGTTTTAGGGCAAGGGTTTCTCCAGCAATAGAAGGACAGTGTCCAGAGTTAGCCCTCTCTCAGGGTGGGGTTAGCCTTGGGCACTTTGACTTACACAATTACATGGGAGAATCTTGTACTTTCATTCCTAAAGAGTGTAGTGGTCATTTTCTTCTGAGAAAGTCTAGCGTTGAGTAACATGTTTTAGATCCCAAGAGCCCAAATTGATTTGACATTTTATTTTTTGGTATAGAAGATTTGAAGAGTAATGAGTGTTCTTTGCTGTTAGAATAGTCTTTAGGAAGAACAGAATTGGTGAGGTAATTTCCATAAAGATTCCTGTTTGTGGCAGTAATCACAATTGGTAATTAATCGCATTCAGAGAGAGGGTATGGAATTCAACTAGCATCTTGCTTCACTACAGGAAATCTTTAAATATATCCCATGTTGCTGACTGTCATTTGGGACTAGGAAAATTGTAGCATGTTAGAGGAAGATAGAGGAAACTTCTTAGAGACAAATAAAACAACCTATTAGGTCAATACAGCCATACAGGCAGTCCACTTGAGCTTTGCATTAAGGATGGCCTTATAGCAGACACAGATTGAGGCAATTAGCCACTTCCAACCTTATGCAAGCAGTAGCAATGGAAGCATGCCAAGATGGATGATTAAGGATTAAATAATGGTATGGGAACTTGATTAGAAGCTCCCAAATATTTTTGTCACCACCTGATATTTCTACATCACTACATCTGCGATTGTGAAAGGCAGGGGCCCTCCTCCCAGACCCCACCCCTGTGTCCACTTACAGCTCAAGGGAAAGTGGGGAAGAGAAGGGTTTCTTTCTCCACCAACTCCTCACAGGGAGCCGAGCCAAGAGAGGCAGGAAGAAGCATGCTCATTTCCAACCTTTTTGGCAGGCTCAAGCAGAAGCAAAAGCCATTGCCAATTCTATTTTTTAATACAGATTTTAAAAGGCTTGTGTCTACACATGCAAAGGGAAGTATATAGTACGCCATGTTAAATTAAGCAGCGCAACAATTTTGTTTTCTAATTAAAAAATAAAATGCCTGAAACTTTCCTGGCTATCCAAATATTTGTTTTACCTGTTACAAATCCAGATTAAAGTGCGAGAGTGAAGTGCAATACTTTCTTCGGTAGTATGTGGGCTTTTCACCCCCACATGGTTCAGTGCCCCAGTCCCAGTCTGAGACCATCTAGGATTTTTGCATCTCAAACCAGGAGAGATGTTCTCTTTTCTTTTGAAACAAAGTTGAATTCCTAGATTCCTGGTATGTGGAACCTGATGTAAGTAGTGCTTTGGTGGTTTAAACTGGATACTTACCAAGAGAGAGCAAGAGAGAGTGAGAAATCAAGAGTCAGGGGTCAGCTAGGGAATGAAAGAGATTTCAATTGCATCACTTGATGAAATGAGGACTCCGTGTTGGAAAAATCCTCCAGGCTCAATTTGTTGAAGCAGAGAATGAATCACTCAAAGGCCAAGAGACCTTTTACTTTTGCACAAGGGCATAAGCTTGAAGAAGCAGGCACGCAGGACAAAGGAGTGGAGCCCCTTTGAGGCAGAATGCATGAGGAGCAGCTACTTCTTTTCTAATGGCTGGTTTGGAGGCTTACAAGCTATCTGGATTATATAACTCAGATGGATCAAGGGGATCCTGAGGGGTTGCTGAGGGGAAGGGAGGGCAGCTTGGAGGGAGATGTGGAGAACAGAAAAGCCTTGGCTTGTAATAATCTATCTTTGGTTTGTAGCTGTGATCCCAGGATTGGAATTGAGTGGGCCTTTTATGTAACTTAGTCAGGGCTATCAATGATGGGCTAGAGCCCAAGATATTCAATTCTGTTTGATAGAAAAGAAAATTCATGTTGTATAAGACCAGTGTGTATGCTTGGGCCTGAAGAGTTAAAAAAATTGGAGTTCACAGCGAAGTGGTAGTTAAGTAATTTGGAAGAAGATCAAGATATTGGTAATGCCTTTCCTGGAAAGATACAGGCACAAGGAGTGAACAAATGTTTGTGGAGGACTCACATGGGACCTTTCATGCTGGGCTCTTTGTAGGGGACCCTAGATTGTTTTATGAGAGCAGGGACTATTTTGTTTTAGTCTACATAATCCCCTGTGGGTAGGAATTATTATTATGACAATTTTTTAAGACTCAGTTTAAAACTTGCCTAAGGTCACCAGCTAGTTCTTGGTAATACTGGCATTCAAGTCAAGGCCTGTGTGACTGCAAAGCTTGCCAGACTGCTATTACAATGACATCTAGCCAACAGAGGCAAGACGGGAGTTCTCTCAGGCGAAGGAAGGGAGAAATGAGAGAACAGAGAAGATAACGATAGACACAGGACCTTTCAGCAATCTATCTGTGTATCTATCTATCTATCTATCTATCTATCTATCTATCTATCTATCCTTCCATTTATCTATCATCTACCTATCCACCCACCCATTCCCTCATCCATTTATGTATGTATCTGTATCCATTTGCTAAGTGCCTACTTTCTCGGTTACTTTTCTCTCATTTGTGGGACAAGGTACCCAACACCCCAAATCAAGGAAATAAGAGTTTATTTAGTTCACAGTTAGTGGAGATTTCAGTCCATACTCAGCTGGTTCCAAGGCAGGGTGGCATGGCAGAGGGCAGCAGTTCATCGCAGCAGAAAAGCAGTAAAACAGCCAAGGGAGGAGCAGTGGCTGTGGCAGATAGCAAACCTCTCTCTTTCCTTATATTGTATACAGAATACCTACCACAGGGTGGGTGCAGCACTAACACCTATAAGGCCCACACTGGATCATGAATTAATCCCAAGCTCTAGAAGTCTGCTCCAATGACTGCATGAGGCTTTTGGGGGACAACTAGACACAAACCATAATACCTACTATATGCTAAGTATTTCATGTCATATGATCTCCACTTAAACTGTTTTTGTCTTGCTTCTTTCTCTCTCTCTCTCTTTCTTCTTTCTTGTCTTTTTGAGACAGGATCTTGCTATGCAGTTTAGGCTGGTGCTGGGCTCACTATGTAGCCCAGTCTGGTCTTGAACTTGCAACGATTCTCCTGCCTCAGCCTCCTGAGTCCTGGGATTACAGGTGTGTGCCATCATGCGCAGTTTTCTACTTCAACTTTCAAACCAGATAATATCACTTCATTTCATGCATGAGTAAACTTTCAAATATTACACTGTAGTTTAGTTATAGAATTAAGGTCTGACCTTGAACTTGTCAGATTCCATGGCACCACTAGAAACTATTTCTTGCACTGCTGCCCAAAGAGGAATTTCTAAAATAGTTCCAGTTATCTCTCTTTCAGTTGGTGAATATTTCTCACACTCTGATTTTCCTAAATATTTGAAAAGTAAAATTTACATTTTCCATAAAAAGCTGTGCTTCTTTTACAGCGAAAACATTTACTTAGTGTTAAGTTTAACAGGCTTTTTTTAATAGTCTAATTTTTTAAACTGCTAAGTATCTAGGTCAGAAATTCAGTCAGTCCATATATACTACTAAAACCCCAAAAACCTGAAGTAGAAAAACTCAAATAGTCAAAAAAGACAAACAGCAAGATAAATCTCTGTCCTGTTCAGGTCACTTTATGCTCCTCCTTAAAGTCCCTGCAGGGAAATTTTGTATAATTTCTCCTGCAGTCACATATGTTTGTATGGTTTGGGTCCTTCTTTTTTATAGCTCCAGACCTTGGGGATCTTTTCTATATGAGAAGAGACTGATATTCTTCATGTGCTTAACAGCCACAGAGAAGCCATTGCACAGATGCCTTCTACCTTATGCACTGAGCCCGATTGTTGGGCAGATTTTTTTTTTTTTTTTGCTTCTGACATTATGCCATCACAAATAATGTTGCAATGAGCATCTTTTTACCTATGCCTTTATATACTTGTTCCATCTGAGGTCAAGTTCTTGGAAATGAAACCATTGGTTCAAAGGGCATTTGTGTCTATTTTGAAGATCCCATAAAACCCAGCCCTACACAGCTGAGTAATGAAAACACATCATGTTCTAAACGAGAGGCACTGTGGCACTTGTTCTAAATAAGAGCACCAAATCTGCAATCAGCCAGTCCCGGCTCTGCAGCTCATGGCCTGTGCAACCTTGGGTGAGTTAACCTCTCAAAATTAGAGTTTACTATTGATTAAATGCAACAATAATAATATTTTATTGAACTAGCTATGTGACAGGTAATACTGTCTTAAGCATGAGACTCAAGTGGTGTTATGCCACTAATTGTCCCTCTGACAGATGAGGAAACTAGGCACAGAGTGCCCATACACTCTGACCGAGCTCACGCAGCCAGTACACAGTAGAGCCAGGATTTAACCTCTAGAAGTATGGCTTCAGAGCCCACATTTTAAAGACTTCCTCATGGTGGCATTACATGGATTAAATGAGAAGACAGGTAGAAGGTGAGTAGATGGAAAGAGAGGGCGGGGAGAGAAGGAAGGATGAAGAGAGGAGGAAGGGATGAGAATGAGTGCCACATGGTATGTGGCCCTCCACCTCTGCCATATGGCTATGGTGAGATGCAAACCCAGTCCTTTGCCAGGCACCAAGCCTTCCAGATGGACAAGCTGGCCCAACAGATTTCCTTAAGAATTCATTCCTAAGAGGAGGGCTGGGAATAGGATCACATGACTTGGAAAACTACTATATATTTCAGTCTTGAAATCAGTAGAACCTTAGGACTGTGCATTTCTTAGAGAGGGAATCAAAGGGTATTGATTAAGTAAGTTGTAATGAGTATGGCAAATTCACCTTCCATCTGAGGACTATAAGATATGGAGGGAGCTAGTGACTGAACATGACTTGGGATATAAACAGTGGACCATCAGGCGAGACCACCAGGTAGTTTCTCTCTCATAAAGTTTTGTAAAGGGGGAAGCAGATTACTTCTAATTCAGTGATTTTCAAGCATTACCTCATTTACTCCCAGCTCCAGCAGCTATCTTAGGGGTTGGGATTATTGTCTCTGTGTAGCTCTTTAGGAAGCTGAGGCTCAAAGAGGCAATGTAGCTTGCCCAGAATTCTGTCCATCTACTTAATGCATTTAGTATGAAGAGACAGGACAAGTTTCTTCCCCAGAGAGCACAGTTGAGAGTGGAGAGTCTTGAGTCTGTGTCTTGTGTCTGCTGCAAGGTGGGAAAACTGGAGCTCTAAACCTCTGTTACAAACTGGAAGATGCAAACTTTCATGTGGATTTTATAAGATCTTATAGGGGATTAGCTGAGCTGATTCTGACAGAGGTTGGCATATGGCTAGTGTTCAAGAATTATACCAAGAACTAGAAAATACACCTTGTGTCAAACATCACAATGCTTAATATTATGTCTAGATCACAAATATTTTCTGGAGTGATGAATGTCAAAAATCTCTTTTCCCCAGGAGGTGGAATAGAGATAGCATAGGCCATACATCATTAGTTCTACTGGCAATGCTGAACTCCACATGACTTCCCACTTGCCATCTGTAGGACTGAAGGTGCTGTCCATAGAGTAAGGATCCATCCATGATCTGTACATTATTAACGCAACTGAGAAATATAAGAAAAATTAAAGATAAAGCATAGGCGGTACATAGAATAAATCCTTGGTTTGTACTAATTGATGAATTTATTCTTGTGATGAAAATCTGAACTATAGAACTATATTTTTAAAGAAGAAATGCTAATAATAGTTCTTATTTATAAACCTAGCTATGACTTAGGCAAAACAATGCTCTTGACACATAAATTTCTCTCAATAGCTTCAACAATCCTATGAGTCAGTAGTGTTATCTTTTTGTTTTCATTTTTTAGCCAGTTGAGAAACTGAGTCTCACAAAGACAGATGACTTGGAAATAAAAGCTCATCTGTTGTTCCATGTTATGGTTTAAATCCAATATGTTCCTTGAAAGTCTCATGTGTTTGGAAGGGGATTGGGGCATAAGGGTACTTTTTAATCAGTGGATTGGGCCACTATTAGAGGTGAGGGCTGGTGAGAGGAGGGTCACTTGGGTGTGACCTGGAAAAGTATCTTTCCCTCTCTGCCTCTTCCATTTCTACTTCCTGGCTGCCTTGGCTTGAGCGATTCTTTCTCTCCTGTGCCTCTTTGCCATCACATTTTTGCCTTGGAGCCTACTGACTTGGAACTGAAATTACTGAAATTGTGAAGTAAAATAAATTTCTCCTTTTCTAAGTTGCTGATGTTTGGTACTGAGTCCAGGAGTGGAATAATGACTAAGAGATCCTCTTTCCTCCACACCATTATAACAGCAGATAAATATTGTAAGTCTTTGTCAATAGCTGGGATGAATAGCCAAGAAAGTCCTATAATCAATTACTTAAAATTATATCTATTGTACTTCTATTGTATAACATGATGACATGTAGAAGATAAGTAGTTTCCCAGCTTAACTCAAACAGTAGATTTTATCAATTATGTGTTATAATGATACATGTTGAATAATTTGGAACTGTGGTTCTTTTGGAGTCTGGAAGCAACAAGAATGAGGAAATAGATGAGAGGACTCCCTGGGTTTCTATCATGCTGGGTTCTCCACTGTGTGAAGCTGGCCAGGGTTCCTCCCTTCCAACCACATAGCAAAGCCCCTTCCCAGAGGCCTCTTTACCAGTGTAAGGCTGGGAATAGTTTTAGCCTTCTGCTGTAGGCAATAGGAATGGGTGAGGAAACCATCATGCTTGAGTAGTTAATAGAGAAAGCACTTGGAGAAAGTTCAGCTTGCAACCTTAGTGTGATTCTGAAGTCAAGATCTTGCTGACCTGAAGCAGGCATGGACGGAACATTTCAGCATGAGCTGTGATCAGAGCAGCCCTGATGCAGACAGGAAGCAGATGGGCAGGCAGAGAGTGGGGAGAGGGCAGACTCCCAGCATGAGTTCAAAGTGGAACTGCCTCCATCCTGTGTAGCCAGAGCAAGTCTGCTAGGGGGCAGCCGGAAGTAGCACCAGTGACTCTGCTCTTGCCTTGACCTCAGTTATGTAGCTGCTAGTTGGCATGCCATTTCTAGTTCCCTCCCTTACATGTCCTCTAGGACTCCAGGCCATTCCCTGTCTCAAAATCCACTGGCATGTTGCTTCTGGAAAGACAGTTTTCCCCTCAACTTGTGCTCCACCTCTCATCTCTTTCCAGTTCCTCCACGGCTATCTTGTCAGAAGAGTGTTTTTCCTTTTCCCAGTATCCTCCCTTCCTTCCAGGGTTGCTCTCTTCACAGCATGTGGTGTGAGTTTAATTGCAAGTTTTTTTTTTTATTTGTTCCTCTTTTCATTGTCTCTTTCTGTCAAAAGCCTGTAAGACCCAGACAAGCATATGTTTGATTCTCAGTATTGATCTCAGCAAAGAATAAATTTTCCAATAAATGCTTTCTAAATATATAAAGGATGGGCTAGAACTCCCAACCAAACACTATGCAACATAAGCGTTATTGAACTTGTTTTGTGACAGTGACAACATTGAATACTAGCCATGAGACCACCAGGGTTCTTCCTGGGCAATGGATTTGGGAGAAAATTTCAGGACACCCAAGGAATGAACAATTATTAAAGCCCTTTGGAAGGAAGTTAATTCAATTTTTAAAACATCCTTGGAGAAGAATCCCAAGAGAAAAAAGAAACATAAATAAATTGCTTTGTGGTATTTCCTGGAAATGTCTTAATGAGATCATCCATCTGACATCTACAAACTGTGGGAATATTGTCCTTTTCATATTCAGTTTCTTCCCAGTTACATTTCCAAAAGGATTATAATGATAAGAGAATGCAGAAATGATCAGAAGAGTTAACTTTTCAGTTATTCTGAAGTTACATTCATGGAGTTTGTAGGGCTGTTACTGCAGTGGTGACATCTTTGCCATTTTGCATTCAGTGTGGAAAAATGAGCGTGAAATCTGATATTTACTACCAGTTCTACTAAAGATGTGGAAGATGGGATTTAACAGTTATTGGCCCGACTCAAGTTTATATTGTAATGATGTCCTTATGTAAGGAACCCTTATGCACTATATCATAAACAAAGACCAGAAGTATCTGAATTATAAACCCAGTTCCTGATGGGGACAGCAATTGGAGCGGCTGTGACCCCTGGGGCTTAGGTCGGGCAAGGCAGGGCTGACTGCATGTTGCTGCATTGTGTCCCTGTCCAGGGAGCTGCCTTCCAACATTAAGGCTGTGTTTAGGGCGACAAAGTGAAACTGAGGACAGAGTAAGTCTTTTCCTTAGTATGGGGACCAGACATGCACATGGGGAAGGAACTATGGTGAATCACTTGCTCAGGGAGAAAGGAAATATCATCCCAAGTATTTTAACATAGGTGAAAACCATTTAGAATAACACTATTTATTTAGAATTTATTTATTTACTTGTTTACTACACACTCAATCAAACCTGAAATTATATCCTGTGTCCCTATGTAATAACCTACTGCAATGTGTCAGCCATATGTTTGATGTTCAATATGAGGCAGTCCTCACATTTCATAATAACATAGGGTCATACAAATTCCCTCGCTAGCTGTAACTCTGCAAAGTGTTCACCATCATCCATGGGGGAAAAAAATCACAGTTGTTTCACACATGGCCTTTAAAAACTTTCTTATATATGGAACAGTATACCAAAAATATTACTTATTTAGTCACAGGAATTTAAAACATTAGGAATAGTGAGCCTTAGTATAACACATTGAGTAGTTTGAAGGGTGTGCGTCTTCTCATCATATAACTTTACAACATGGAGCAAATTGCTTTTGCATGTCTTGGCAGAGTGTCATGCTTTTTCTAAGCTGGATCAATTTATAAAAAAATTCTCCTTTGCTTTTGCTATATCCCTATGAGTTATCTCCAAGAGTTCCTTAAATATGGAATGGTTTGCTCGCTCACTTCCTCTGGAACATGCTCATCCTTTTGGTTATGGTCATTTTATTCATTTATGCTACTAAATTTGCCTTCACAGAGTTGCTTAGTTACATATCCATAGAGTGTCCCATGATGAAAGATGTCCACCTTCCATAGGAAGCTCTTTCTCTGGAAACTTCATTTATAAATAAGCTGGATTTTGCTTCCAAGCCAATCCCTTTTCATTTCTTTGAAGCACGTTTATGTTTTTCTGTTTTTTTTTTTTTTTTTGGCTATTTTTTCTTTTGATTATCCACATTTGTAAAGTGTCATATGGACTTATTCTGGGGGACAAGGAGGCAACATAACTACTCATTTTGCTGTCTGCACCTGAACAGAAGAATGAATGTACAGTGACAAATCACAGACTTTGGAGGAAGTGATGTGACTGGTGACTGATATGAAATGGTTATTTATTTATTTTTTATTTTATTTATTTATTTATTTGTGTGTGTGTGTGTGTGTGTGTGTGTGTGTGTGTGGCCAGCTCAGCCCACCAGGGGGCGGGGCTGGCTGGCATGTGGTGCTGGGGGGATTGAACCGCGGTCCCTGTGATTTGCTCAGCTTGTTCTAAGTAGGTGCTTTAGACCACTGAACCATCTCACCAGCCCCTGAAATTGTTATTTATGAAATCACGTATGGACCATATATTAAGCCACTCACAAGTCATGCACTATCTCACAGTTCATACAGCGTAGTAACTGACATTTATACTGTGCTATTGGAAGACTGGAGTTATTTAACAAAATAATGCATATTTGAACTGCATAAAGGAAAAACTATTCTCATACACTGGGGATAATTTAAAAATGCAATGGAAATTTGCAACAGAGATTTCACCAGTCTGTGAGGACAGAAGTTATCTTGGTGAAAGTGGCATGCAAGACTCGATAGATAGGTAGGAACTAATCTTGGGAAGGGTGAGTGTAGAGAAGATGGTTCCAGGTTGAGGGAAGAGTATGTGTGAAGCCCCAATTATGAGACAGTGCATGGGCCTGGGATGATGTTTATACTGTTTCAAGCTGACCATGGCTGATAATCCCCTTCCCTTATCTTGACTTCTTGTAGTCACCCAGGCCACTGCTTTTGACTGCCAGGCAGCACTGGTGGTTGCGGCTGGGAACCCCAAGCATGCCACTTAGGGCTACTTACCTGGAGCAGGTGCTGAGGGGCAGTGTGCTGCCTGCTTCAGGCCCAGTGCTCCCCAGTAGGAATGGCGAGGTTTGTCAGCAAAATGAAACCAAGTCAAACAAAATGAATTTATTTATTTATTTGCGTAACCGGGGATTGAACTCAGACCCTCGTGCTTGCCAGGGAAGCACTTATTCCACTGAGCCATCTCCCCGGCCCCACAAAATGAATTTAGATGCTGGTTTGTATGCATGACAGAGGAGGCACTAGTGATTCAGTTACAAACATTCTGATCACAGAGCAGCACAAGGCAGGAAAAATTCCCCTCCATAGCCCCAATGCAGGGGGGTTGATTCGAACCTTTAAATGATAAACCGGTGCTTCTAGTCAAGCTGAATACAGAGGACAATACTTTATTTGGGTAAAGTGTGGTTAAGGGGCCAAAATTAACAAATTAAAAATGACCTCAATTATGTCTCCTAAAAATGCTATGGAGTAATTATGATTATCTCCATTTTACTGATGGGGAAACTGAGGTACATCACTTAGGGTCACAGGGCTTGGACTTAAACCTAAGGCTTATTCCAAAGCCAATGCCTGCAGTCACTATGCCACCAGCATATTTAATTACAAAAATAACAAAAAAGACAAACACTGAATCTACACAATAACTCTTATGCTGTTTATAAGAAAAGGAGTACACGTTAAATGTTAGTTAAAAAATAGAGCAAGAAAATTCCGTCCTTATAGAAATGTTCAGACACGGGGGATTCTCAAGCCCAGCAGTTTTCAGAAAAGTTTGGTGAAATTGGGTAGAATTTTACGCATGAGCTATCAATTCAAGATTGTATTAGGAAAGCAAAACAATGAAATTATTGCAATTATTGAGTTAACAATGAGATTTTACCATGTGCATTCTAGCCATGAGTAAGACATTAATTTGAATTAGATAAGAAGATATAATGTCATTTGAAGAAGACCTAGTAAATTTAATAACAGAGATAAATGAAACCAACAATGATCTCACACTCTATAAATCTAAACACAGGACCAAGGTTGGACCCAGGGGCTCTAGCAGATGATGCCTGTTAGCTCCATTGGTGGTTGGACCTAACTTTTTTGTGTTTTCTTCTGCTAAACACAGAGATTAAGAAAGAATTACTCCAAAGTGCAAGAGCAAGAAACAACCTTGAACCTTCTCTACTCAAATAGGAGCTATGCTGGTAATTTAATCACTGAGTTGTGTAACTTGCTTATGACAAATGATAAAATATCTGCACTGTGGAAATCTGCCTGAATGATTCCTGCACAGCAGTGGGAGGGGAAGCCTTTGCTGGCTCACATGCGCACTCTCCCACCCTCCCTCGGTCGCTGAAGTTGCTTCTCTATTAGGATGGAATATGCAAGAGGTTGGCAAGTGTGAAGTGGTTGAAACATTTTAGGATCCCCTTCTTTCTTCCCTGCTCCTCCCCTGTGTACTTGTGGGCACAGAATGGCACACACAGCACAGGCAGCCCTTCATCAAGCCGAAAGCTCAGCAGGCAGCCAGCAGGAGACCCTGCACTGATCTGACTTCTGCTTCAGGGCCCAGCCTTACCATGTGCCTGCTTCTTCTGTGCTGGCTCCAATATTTAATTTTTAGATGTTGAATAAGACCATCTGGGATATCTCTTTTTATTCTTCTATCTCAATTTTCTCTTAGCAGGTTTCCCAAGTCACCAGAACTACATTGGATCCCACTGTCTCATGCCTGTGCTTCCTGCCATAGAAATGCTTCTGCATCTTCTTGGCTAGCTCAGCAGGTCCAAGAGGGCAGGTAAACAGTCTGCCTGGCCCACAGTGCTCTTCCAACTCTGTGCCATACCTGGCATATTGCTTGGCATGAGTGTTTGCAGAGTGAATGATCGCTTGCTTCATTTGCTCCTCTGAAAATGTATTGTCAAGTATTTAGGATAAACACAGGTGTGAAAAGAAAAATACTATAAACCCTCAAGGAGTGACTACAGGATTAAAAAAAAGAAAAGATATTAACACAAGTTTAAGTTCTTGCTTTCTTCTCTCTGGTCACATTCTGCTGTCTAGAAGCAGCCACGTAGTAGTGTAGTCAGCCCCAGCCCTGTCTTTGGTTTCAGTTACCTGTGGTCAACTATGGTCTAAAAATGTTAGTATTTGTCTAGATTCTAGATTCTAGATTCTAGAAAGACAGAGAGAGAGAGAGAGAGAGAGAGAGAGAGAAAGAGAGAGGACCCTATTCACATATCTTTTATGTGAATGTACAGTATATGGTCATAACTGTTCAATTTTATTATTAGTTATTGTTAATCTTTTATTGTTTATGATTAATTTATAAATTAAGCTTTATCATAAGCATGTATGTATGGAAAAACATTGCCTTTATAGGGTTTGATACTATTTCTTTTCTGCATACCTCAGAAGGTTGTTTCAATGGGTAAATAAAAGAATATTACAGAAATGATTTTGAAACCTGGTGTATTATGCAACTGGAACATCAACAACCCAAAATATATTACCCAAGTGTAATAGTGCAAGAGTTGTACAAAACAAGAATATAAAATAATTTGTTATCATCTATCTTAAACTTGTTCTTGCCTATAAGTTGTTATCCTTTATCACATTTAATTGAGTTATTCTAAAAATGATATCTTACTCCCAAAGTCAGCTATGGGAAAAATAAGGCTCTTGAGAGAAATATTTGTGTATTTGCCTATAAAATTGTACTGAGTTTTTGAAATGAATAAAGTTAGTTCTGGAAGGGGATTCATCACAAAAGTTGTGCTTTCGTTCTAAGCTGTGAAGGTAGGAGTGTTACAAGTGAAGATTTTTAGGGGGCTCAGGGCCTGGTTCACATCTTGACTCTCTGTCTTTTCCTCGAGGGAAATGAGACACTTTAATGGGACTGCTGGGAAGATTAGATGTGTGCATGTGTATACAGCTGCTTGTTTGGCTCTTCAAAGACGTGGCTTAAAGCCAGGCTCAGCTGAGATTTCCAACAGGTGAGGCAAGCTTGCTAGGCTCTTGCTCCTCTCACCTGATCTCGTTTTCTTTTACATCGCATTTAAAGTGTGGGGGCACATACCATGTGAGGACCCGCAGCTGTTGTAGGTCTACTAACACTTAGGAATAGAGGATCCAGCTATGTTCGCAGAACAAAGAATGTTGCCACTGCTGAGTACTTTGGTGTGGGCCAGATGCTTTGAACCTGCAAGTACTGACTTTTGCTTTGGCAATTGAGAAAAAGCCACCTGGTTAGTTTGTCTCATGACCAAGAAACCAAAGAGAGGATTTCAAAGTAGTTAATGATGTCCAATGTAAACTGGGACATTTTAGTATCAAGTAAGAGATAAGGACAGATAAAATTAAAACCCAGGGGCCAGCAAGATAGCTCAGCAGTCCAAAGCACCTGCTTAGGCAAGCTTAGGCAAACACAGGGACCAAGGTTCGATCCCAGGCACCACAGCCAGTCACACCCCCAGGGTGGGCTGAGCCAGCTCTGCCCCCCCAAATTAAAACCCCATGTTAGAGGCTGGGGATGTAGCTCAGAGGTAGAGCACTTGCATGTGTGACACCTGGCCTCAGTCCCTAGCACCAAAACAATCAATGAATCAACCAATCAATTGATCAATCAATCAAACTAAACAACGAACCACCACTAGCACCAAAAAACCCAGTGTTGGAACTCTGGGTTCCAAAATAACTAGACTACAGAATTTTTGCTGCTCCTATCTTCTTTATAAAATGTGTCCTCTTTTATTCTTATGGCCATAATAAGGCAAGCACTAGGTTGTACCTCATGCATTTACACACCCATATCCAGTTTCCTGGGAACTGTCGTGCTTTATGAGCACACATTTCTTTCCACAAATACTTTCTATCAAGGTCCTTTCAATTTAGGAGCAGATAAAAAAGAAGCAGGGAGGAGGGATGGCAGAACAAATGTCCTTCATATTCTAGTAATCTTGGGAGGCTTCCTGGAGGGCATATGCCTAGAAAAGACAGGGGAGGGTCAGTACACAGAATTTGGCAGTCATGGATTTACTTTATTTCTCTGTATACTCTACTTGTTCCCTCACAGAGGTCATTAAACTCCTGGCACTGGCTAGTATCACTTTTTGGCTTGGGAACCAGACTCTCGGATTTAAAATCCTAGTACTGACTGAAAGTTTATGTGATGTTGGACAAGTTTCTTAAATTCTCCTTATCTCAATTTCTTCATCTATAAAACAGAGATAGTATAACGATAGTGATGATAATAATAATTCTTGCTCCAGAGGGTAATTGTTGGGGATAAACAGGTCAATTACATCTCATATCCATCTTTAAACAATAGTTGGTCCATTGTAAGTGTTCAATAATTATCACCTGCTATTATTACTTTCAGTTAGAGAACACTACAAATTGGTACTGAAAACAGTACTTCTATAAAATTTCAGCAAAGATTTTTTCAGTAAACTTATCAAGATTACAAAGAGTCTCAGAAACAAGGCCAAAATATTGATCGTAATCTTCGTGGCCATGATACATAGTCCAGAGTCGGTGGGCTAATGCCTAGAATGGGTTTGGGGGCAAGCACACCAAACTATGTCTCACAGTAAAGAAAATCAGTGTTATTATGTATTTGCTAAATAGACTGCTGTTTCCAAGCGGAAGCACTGCAGTCATTTCGGTTTGCCACTGAGTTCGGCTGATGCTGTCGAAGCAGCACAAATGGAACATAATATAAAGTATACACATAATGTACTGTTCCAAATTCAAAGAGTGCATTTCTCTTCCATGTCTCTTCCCCGAAATTCAGAGAGATGATGCATAGAATGAGGTGGCTATTAAGCTTAAAACGAATAACAGTGAAACTGAAAGGAATTTCAGTTGCTGACAGAATTGAAGGAAAACCATTAAATAGCGTAGTTAATAGGAATAGAAGGGGATTATAAGAAATCTTGTTAGCTTTCTTGCTTTATGGGAAGACTAAATTTATCATAGTTTGAAGTTTACAGATAAAAATCTTTAAAGAAATTTTTAAAAAGATATCGCAGATGGAACACTTACGTGTTTGTTCAATAGTCCATTGTTCAGCAATGTTCCTAAGAAAATGACTTTTGTGTAATATAAATTCCTCACACTGCAGCCAAATCCTGTCTAAATGATGGTGCTGCAACTGTAGGAAAGAACTACATAACTCAAATTCTTGGAGCACGGATTGGTTGTACTGCTGCTGTCGTTGTTGTTCTACTCTGCCTGGACTAAGAAAAAATTTATTTCAAGATTTCTGTTTGTAGACTTAATTTGGGGAAATGTGACAGGGGTTTGGAGACACTGTAGAAGGAAAGTACTGTGCTTTAATCATTGAATGATTCAAGACTCTTTAGGCTCTCAGGGATCAGTAGGAAGAAGCGATTATGATTGAGCAGGCCCCGTGATGTAGAGTTGAGAAGATGTGCGTTGATCTTCGTTCATACAATACATACCTACAAGTAGTCCCTTTATGGGACAAGGAGTGAAAAGACATTTAATATCAAAGACTTTCCTTTTGTGCGAAAAGACTGGAAGAATAAAGCCCACCAAAAACTGGTGCAGTCCCAGAAAATTTGAGGTAACTATTGAGAAGTAGTTCTAATTCATATATAATTTTTAAGTATATTTTCTAATATATCATATACTATAAAATTTGCCCATTTGAAATATACAATTCAACTGAAGGCTTTTAATATATTCAGAGAATTGAGGGACCATTATCATAATCTATGTTAGAACATTTTCATCACCTCAAGAAGACATGCATATCACTCCTCTCCCTCCCTCCTCCAACTCAGATAACCACTAATCTATTCCCTCTGTTTATAGATTTCCTATTCTGTACAGTTCACATAATGTGCTCTTTTTATAATCTTATTTTATTTTTTAAGTGTAAAAACAAAAGCAAGAGGAAAAATCAGAAACAAAGACAGAAACAGTGCAACATACAATACATATGTTACAGATTTTCAAAACAAGAATAGCTGATTAACAATGGTTGATATATTATCTATTTTTATCGTCAAATCTGTTGCTTGGATTAACAGATGTAGTTATGTAAGATTGGACTTATGATTGAATATTACCGTATACTTTTAAGAAATCTTAAATTTTTGCTCAGGACATATGAGAACCTGTAATGTAACATCATGTAACTCAGTTGTGTCCCGAATTTTCTGATCAAGGAGATTATGGGGCCAAAGAGGAAAATGATCGATGATGTAGAGTGTGGTATGCCTAAGGAGAGTCACATGGTGAGAAAACATTTTCTCAGGCTTTCACAGAGAGCAAACTGGCCAAGCAATGGCCATGACTCATCCACATGGCTGACACTGACGAAGGATCTACAAACTGCGGTGCAGGGTTTCAGGATAAATCCTGAGGGGATTTCACTGACCTTATCAGATCTAAAAGCTACAATTCTTGTTACATAGGTCTTGCTTTATCTTGGTCTTTTTTTTTTTTTTTTTTTTTTTGCAGAACCGGGGATTGAACTCAGGCCCTTGCACTTGCCGGGGAAGCACTTATCCTACTGAGCCATCTCCCTGGCCCCTTTATCTTGGTCTTAACCATCCAGCAGAAAAGTATAAAAATGAAGTATAAGAAGTAAAGCCATGTTGTTATGTTGAGCTGTAGGGGACTCAGGTCAACAATTTCTGACATTGCCAGTCAAGCGGAAGACCTAGCACTATTATGGACTACTGGACTATTTTGGAATATTTTGATGAGATCACACCTATAATATTTATATGATGGAACTAAACAATAAAAGGAGATACAGATGGAATGACTATTTTGTATCTGTGTATTTAAAATAGTTAGGATAGATATATAGCTACATTCTCTTAATTCAATGAATAGAGGGATTTGTTCTAATAGTGTTTGTAAGTAGGATATCATGTCTGCATCTTGTACAACAAATAACCACTAGGAAGACAGTATGCAGTGTGCCAATTATTGAAACTGTCCTACCAATTTGGTTTGAAAATGCCTCATTGCTATTTGTTTCTCAATAAAATTATGGAAAAAAAGAAATCTTAAATTTTTGTTCTTCTCTCTCTTTTCCCCTTATTATCTTTTAAAAATTATATTAAAGTGAGTATAGTGATAATTGGTATGACATTAGAAATGGTACACATTTAG